TTCCTAGTAGTATGAAGTATGGTAGTAAAGATTCCGCTGATACGGTTGAAATAGCAAACATGTTTGCAGATTTCTTTCAAAGTACATACTCTACACTCACATTCAACTCAAAGTATGCTTTTAATATTGATAAAATAAACAATTTCCCTAATTTTCTTCTAACAGAAGATGAAGTGTTGAATGGTTTAGTTTCAATAAAGTATTGTTGCTCCCCAGGTCCTGATGGAGTGCCTGCGAATATATTGAAAACTTGTGCTTATGAACTGTATAAGCCCCTGACTGCTATTTTTAATCTTTCGCTGTATACAGGGTACTTTCCTCTGTCCTGGAGATCTAGCTTCATTATCCCCTTACATAAATCTGGTAGCAGAAATATTATTGAAAATTATAGGGGTATTGCAAAATTAAGCGCCATTCCAAAACTTTTCGAACTTCTAGTATCACGTAGAATAATTCATTTCGTTTCGCCAATAATTTCACCTTGTCAACATGGTTTCATAAAAGGGAGATCGACTTTAACTAATCTGATGGAATTAACATGCCATGCACACCATGGATTTTCTACAAAGCAACAAACAGATGTAATTTACACTGATTTTAGTAAAGCATTTGATACGGTGTTACACAAACTTTTATTATTTAAATTGGACGCCATGGGTTTTCCATTCAAAATTTTGACTTGGATTTCATCCTACTTGCAAAACCGCACTCAAAGCGTATCTTATAATAATATTTTCTCTAGAAATATTGATGTTCATTCTGGAGTTCCTCAAGGTAGCCATTTAGGTCCACTATTATTTGTGTTATACCTTAATGATCTTCCATCAGTTATTCAATCTTCTAAAGTGTTGATGTTTGCTGATGATGTAAAACTTTTCAGAAATTTAGACTCACTAAATCAAGCCCTTAATCTACAAAATGATTTGCACTCTCTTGAATACTGGTGCAGTATTAACGGTATGTCACTGAATCTTAAAAAATGTAAAAAATTATGCCTTTCTAAATGTCGTTCAATTCCTACCAATTATTTTATAGGCTCTTACAAATTAGACAATGTTGATTCCTTTGTTGATCTTGGTGTTATCTTAGATGATAAATTGCGATTTAATTTGCATATTGAGTCATGTGTAAATAAAGCCAAATCTTTACTAGGATTCATAAAACGATGGTCTAAAGAGTTTGACGACCCTTATGTGACTAAACGTTTATTTGTTAGTCTGGTTCGGCCTACATTAGAATATGGATGTATATTGTGGAGCCCGTTTTACAGTTGTTATTCTAAAAAAATTGAATCTGTCCAAACACAATTTCTCTTATTTGCTCTTAGAGGTTTGCCTTGGAGTACAGTTGAAGGACTCCCTCCTTATGAAAATCGTTTAAAACTTATTAATCTCCCAACACTGGAACGAAGACGTTTAATGCTGAGATCTATATTTTTAATAAAACTTTTACGCGGTCAAATTGACTCGAAATTTCTAATCGGTGAAATCAAGTTTAATGTACCTTCACGTCTTACTCGTAATTATATACCGCTTTATCTTCCTTTAGTGAGATCTAATTATGAGTTATGTAATCCCTTTAGATCACTATTTGAAATATATAACAATCTGTATAATCGCATCTCTTTATCTGATCCAATACATGTAATTAAAAATTCTATTCTAAATTTAGAACTGTAGAGTGCAAGCAGTTGCCAGATGTTTATGTTTTGTGTTTGTCTTTATTGTTGTGTTTAATTAATTAACTTTAAATTGTTTAACCGGCTGATGTTTACTGTAGCCGGTGTTTCCCAACATTACTAGCCCTCCATAATCCGGATTATGGGGTGTACGTTCTCCCTACGTTATGGGGAGGAGGCCCCCTCGGTCGGCAGGGGCGGGTAAGAGTGGCGTGGGAACGATCGAAAAAAAAAAAAAAAAAGTGGAAAGGCAGTTAGTCAGTTGTGAATCAGATCGCGAATTGAAACCGTCGAGTAAAGTAAAGTGCAAAGTAAAGTTGTGTGAATAAAATCATTGTAATAATCGTAATCAGAAAGAACCCGCGTTTTATTTGGTACGAACTGTATCGGGAAATAAAACAACGTCTACACGGGATTAAGTAAAGTCCAAGAACGTAACAATATTATCATTACCAAGCCGTTTTTATGTGGTATTATGAATCTGTCATCTTTGATGTTTTTTTGTGAATAAATATAAATAATATATGAATATAAGATCTAAATTAAAATTTTAAAAATTTAATTTATGTATAAAATAATTTTATTTATTAAAATATTACAATTGTAAAACATGGTGCCGACTTTGGAAACCTGTTATCCAATTCTCGTCATGGTTAAATTACGCATTTCAAAGGTTAAAAGAATTTAAGATTAAAACCATGTCTTCTATTATGAAAATCCACTCAAAACTGACTTTTTATAAATTAATCGGTATTCAGAGCACTTATTTAACATTTTTCTCATTTGGAGCCAAAATGATCGAAAAGATGCTTATTATCCACCCATGTGCTGACAATAGGAAAACCTTAAATTTTGTTGTTAATAAGGACGCTATTGATAAAAATATCATAATTATAAATATTTTTTTAATCATTTTAAATTGTATAGTGTTCTCCTGTATGTTCTTTATCAAGTCATGCAGAAGGCGAATTTCAGGAAACCTGCATCTACATTTTCTGTCAAAATTGTTGTTGTGGCGAAAATTTCTTTGAAAATATTGCGATTTACTTTCTACTTTTTCAACGCGCACAACAAAATTTAAACACGGCACTGACTTTATTTTAATAAATAATTGTTTTTTGTCTCATTTGGTAAACATTTTGTGTATTTAAGGATAATTTAAAAAAAAAAAAATGGAAAATTTTATCGATGCCTTTGTCACTTGGTATCGATAGTCATATAACAAATTCAATTGATTTTTTTCTATTTAAAACAAAAGAATATAAATGTGTATGCATTTAATTAAAATCGTATTTATCATGAACGATAAACATGTGAAACTCTAGTATAGTGGCTGTGCTCCGGTAAAGTAAGGCTAAAATATTGTAGTGTAATAATTTACCTATCCATCGTTGGTATGCTGCATAAAACTATTGTACGGTACTACAGTGTTTGCTTTCGTTTGTTTGTGCCAGTATTGTTGTTTTAGATCGTATACATTCGTTACCAAAATCTCAACAGATTTTCAGTAATTTCAATAGTTCAAGTCCTTGGGCCAATTAAATGTTCCAAACTAAATCACATCCGAATTGGGTATAAACGCTGCCTAAATAAACATTATTTAAAAATATATATGGACTGACATGTATTTGTAAGTGTACCTAAAAATGTACTCTAAGTGTATGCTCAGACGTAATTATTATTGTTTCATTCTGCATCATTCCGGTCATTTGAATATTTTTTGTGGAAAATCTATTTTGGGCCTCCAGCCAAGTTTTGATTTTTCTTAGTTTATACCATAGCTGTATCCAGAAAAAAATCTTTGAAGTTTGAGAAGCACTTTTAACTTGACAACATAAATATACTATTTTTTCACTTTGAATTTTAAAGAGATGTTCTTCAGTTGTTGCTGGTTCGAGCCAGCTGATGGTTTAAATTCGCATACAAAAAATAATATTTGAATTAAAGAAAAAAAAAAAAAAATAATAATAAAAATTTAAGGCCAGGCAAGGCCCAAGGTAAATATCAAGATGTCCCTATATTCCAAGAATGTCCCTACAAAATTTCATGTGAAAATATCGAGAACTCTTGAAGATATAGCCGATTTATTATGTCAGCATCAAATGACGGCAAGAGTGATTCTCAAACTTTAAACGCATTTTTCTCGAAGCAGTGTTTGTACGAATGGCGGGCACGATAACACAAAAACTAATAATCCAATCGGTTTGACACGTTTCTCCGGGAGTGTATAGTTATCGTATGAACTAGGATAAAGCCAATCGGTGCTTAACTTCCTTATTTTTTAACATAGTTTGTGCTGAAAAATAGACGAATTGATCAATAAATTGAGATATTTATTACTTTGAATTTTATGGACCAAAAGTCCGAATTAAAAACTAAGAATGTTTGTACATATCATGTATATTTATATACAATTATGAAAAGTATTGTTCATCTTAAAATACTTTAAAGCTTAAGAAATATGAAAGGCGACATGCATACAATTTTATAGAATTTATTTTTCATATTATTTGAAATTGTAAGATTATTTCCATGTTAAAAAGTGTTGCTATCATCAAATTCTCAAATTATGCCATGGGTAAATATATAAGGTAGCCCCAACGGCTAATTGAGAACCAAATATGTTAAAATGATAAGCAAGACGTGATCAAATTATTTGGCCTCGGAGTGTTTTTTTTTCGTAAATCCATGTGTTTATAGTTTTACACGACTGAAATCGTAGTTTGACAAAATATGCAGATATCATTATCATGGATATGAAGGAAATGAGAAGATAAAATTGTAAAAAATAAAAAATTAAAATCGAATATTGTTATTCAGTAATAATTATCTTTTAATATGTTTATAATCTAGCACAAACACACCGAAAAGTATAATTTGTGAAATGAATGTTTAGATTTTAGCTATGATTATTAAAATATTATTATATAATATTTTTGACCCATAAATGAAAAGACTATTTTAAATTTGTTTTCATATTATTTTTTGTATATTTGGTTCATTATGTTTGTTTATCAGTTTTTTTTTTCTTAAAAAAAATAAAAATTTAAATACAAACTATGTACAGTATACACGAATGTGCGGCAACTTAGTGACAAACACCTGTATATAAATATGGCAAAATATGTATTTGTTCCTAATGGCTAAATCTTAATGATACGGGTTTGTTATAAATTAAATATGGACGTCTTTCAACAATAAAACATGAAGTACAATGTTATGGTAGCGGACTACTGAACATGGATGGAAAAATTATCCACGTCCTACAGGTAGCGTGAAAATGTCTTGGACAATATCTATACAATAAATATACCTATAAGTATATGTTTAAGTCAATGTATTTACATAGCAGCTATACGTTGCTTCAACTGTTCCAACTCATTGTAGATGGCGGCGGGAAGATCGGAGCCGATTTGCGATTCAAAGTATTTGCGAATTTCCTCGACTTCTTGAGTCCAGAAGTCCTTGGGCAATGAGAACAATTCAGCCAAATTTACATTGTCGGCCATGCCCTCCATGTTCAATTGATTCTCAGCTGGGATGTAACCAATTGCGGATTCGGCTGCACAATTTTCGCCGTTGATACGACGAAGGACCCATTCAAGGACTCGGGAATTATCACCATATCCGGGCCACATGAATTTACCATCTGCGCCTTTGCGGAACCAGTTGACGTGGAAAATCTTGGGGACATTGCCACGCGATTCCATGCTCAACCAATGTTGAACGTAATGGCCAAAGTTGTATCCGAAGAATGGACGCATGGCAAAGGGATCGTGCATGATTACTTTGCCCTTGTGTTCAGCAGCAGCTGTGGCTTCGCTGCGCATTGCTGTTCCCATGAACACACCATGAGTCCAGTTGCGAGCTTCATAAATAAGTGGAACTCCAGCTGGACGGCGGCCGCCAAAAAGAATACCACTGATGGGTACGCCGGCAGGGTCTTCCCAGGCCTCGTCAATAATGGGGCACTGGCTGGCTGGGGTGCAGAAACGGGAGTTGGGGTGAGCTGCAGGTTTGCCGGACTCTTTGGTCCATGGATTACCCAACCAGTCGGTGATAGTAACACCCTCGGCCAAACTGCTTTCCATACCTTCCCAGAAAACACCACCATCAGAGGTCGATGCAACATTGGTGAAGATTGTGTTTCTGAATACGGTTTTCATGGCAATGGGATTTGTTTCCATTGATGTGCCTGGAGCGACGCCAAAGAAGCCATTTTCGGGATTAATGGCACGAAGGGTACCTTGTTCGTCAAACTTCATCCAAGCAATGTCATCACCAACACATTCGACTTTGTATCCGGGAAGAGTTGGGTTTAACATGGCCAAGTTGGTTTTGCCACAAGCCGAGGGGAAAGCGGCAGTGATGTACTTCTTCACACCTTTGGGATCTGTAATTCCCAAAATCAACATGTGCTCAGCCAACCAGCCTTCCTTCTTGGCAATGGTACTGCCGATGCGGAGAGCGAAACATTTCTTGCCTAGCAGGGAGTTGCCACCGTATCCTGAGCCGTAGGAAACAATCAAGTTATCAGCAGGCTTGTGTAAAATAATCGTTCTCTCGGGATCACATGGCCATGAGCTACGTTCAATGATGCCATTTGCTGGTGTGCCGACGGAATGAAGAGCACGGACAAATTCCTCCTTCTTTTGCAATTGTTCCAAGACGCTTGCTCCCATACGGGTCATAATCCTCATGGAAGCCACAACATATGCCGAATCTGTGATTTCAATGCCAATTTTCGAAAGAGGGGAACCAACTGGGCCCATGCTGAATGGTACTACGTACATTGTGCGGCCCTTCATGCATCCAGGGAAGCGTTCCTTTATGGCCGCCTCCATATCAGCTGGAGAGATCCAATTACCCAATGTGCCCTTTACACCCTCTTGAGGGGTGGGAATAGACTCTTCTTTGCGTTCGGTGCAAATGAAAGTTTTCGATTCAACGCGGGCAACATCAGCAGGGTTTGTACGGGCCAACCAGCAGTTCTCATATTTTGGCAAGGGGACGATGGTGCCAGCTTCGCACATCAGTTTCACCAGCATTTTGTTTTCCATTTCGGAGCCATCGCAAATGTGGATCTGTTCGGGTTGACACAATACCACGGCTTCTTCGACGAAGGCCTGCACTCCAGGTGTAAGCTTCTGGACCGAGCCATAAGAAACGTTGATGCCGCGAATGTGATTGTATAAACCGCAGTTGTCCTCCTTGGATTTGTTCTGCACTGGCAAAGTGCCATTGGAACTGCAAAAAGAAAAAGAAAACCACACAACATTCCATTAAAAGGCCGTCTGATGAAATCTTGCAACACGTTGGCGTGTTCGGTTGCTAACAGCTGTTGCATGCAAGTAATCTTTGCAGCGAAGACTTTGATACTTACATTGGTTTGCTTTGTTCGATGAGTTCAGGCATTTTGTATAGATTTGTTTTGTTTGTTTTTTGTTGGTTACAGAAAACGATAGTTACACTCAAATGACAATCACTTTTTTTAAATATCACAATTTTTGGTATTCTTTTTTTTTGTTTTTTAGTATTTGCTAGTATCTGTGTTTTACAGAGATTTGTTCTCGACTTTCATATGTTCTTCCAGAGTTTTTTGTCAAAAAGTAATTTTGTTTTTAGACCACTGAAATGTTCACTTGATCTTTCCATTTACTCAGAACTCGAGCAACTGATGAAACGACTCTGCTTTGCCAACGCTTTTATACCCCATGCGCGATGGTGGGCCTCTAGACAGAGCTAGAACTCGTTGTTTCGCTTTTGGATCGGTTTGTTATTGTTGCGTTATCTCTACGAAATCGACGACGACGATCGTCGATGTCGTCGTCGAGATCCATGTGTATTTCTGGGCGTTTGGTATATGGCTGTGATGGTGTAGGAGACGGCAGGCAGCAGTGGGCACGGTTGCGGGACGACCTTATGTTGGTGTTTTCGTTTATTGCCTTCTCTTTGTTTTGTGTTTTGTTTTGACTATCGAACAGGGGGTCAAACTTCGCCTTGTGATTGGTTGTTTTATGGGGGCTCGTCGGTTTGTTTTGCCCATTTGTTATTGTTTTGAATCGGAGTACTACAAGATTTGGAAATGGCTGTGTCTGTGTGTTTGTGTGGTTCAACTGGCATACAAGTGTCTCTATGTGTATGCGTGTATGCTCTCTTTGTTTTGTTGGTAGCCTTTATGGCATAAACGATTCTTTCTCCTGTCGCCGCCGTCGATAATATTTTTAAAATAAAACACAAAAAAGTGTGTTTAGCAACAGTCCACGACGACGACAACAACATTGTTTTTTTTCTATACCAAAAATAACTCTGAACATCACACACGGCCACACAACACATGCCACCGCGCCCCCTCCTACAACGGACAAGAACCAATACACACGTATATACCTGCCTGTTTCACATTTCGACAAAACTGCTGCTGCTGCTGTACTTTTTTGCTCATTGTTATTGTTTTGATTTCTGACTATTTCCAGTTCTTGGGCCGGTGTTTTCATAGTAAATGTTTGGTTTTGGTTTGAATACACACCGTATTGGTGTCCCACTGACCTTTAAATATGGCTAAGCAAGTCATCGTTAGCGTGTATATCCTGGAGAAGTATCCGTTTATTTGGATCATTCAATATGGACTTCATTCAAAAGAAGATTGTTTAATTAAACGAATACGCATGCAAGTGTTATCTAAAGAATATCAAAAGTAAATGAATTTAGTGAATTCGCTGATCAATTTTATGCAATGTATGTATTTCTGCACACATACACATACATTAATGGTATTCTAAAGGTCATGTTAATATGGGAAGAGCTTGACTTTTAAATTGTAGTGTCCAAAGTTAAGCGATGTCGATATCAATGATTACTGCCCAATTTTGTGGAATTTTCCTTTGCAATTTTGTTCATTATGTGGCTATATCTTCATATGTATGTTTGTGCAAAAAAAAAAAAAAAAACAATAGAAGAAATTTTTACTTTTCTTTCATATTTTTTAATTTCGTTTTCTAAAATATTTCCTATTATCCTAATTTTTATTTCTTTGTTGTTCAAGAATAATTCCAAGTGAGCAATGTACACAAATCTTTGTTCACTAAGATAATATTTTTTATTTTTGTCAACAAATTTTCATTTTGGTCCGATGGTTGGCCATTTTGATGCGATTTCACGCTAATAATTTAGGAGAATTCCGATTAACAGCTTTACCTAAAATTCAACTAGCTCGTTCGAAGTTTTTCTCCACAAAATTAGAACACATGTATTTATATGAATGTTAGCGAAATACGTCGACGTACGAATTTTTTAAAGTTGAAAAAATTCAACTATAACAGAACGTAGCTTTGTTTTTTTGTTTTGTTGAAAAAAAAAACAAAAAATAAAGAAATATAATTTTGTTCAATAAGAATATGAAATATTTGAATACATTTTATAATTTCTTAATTTTATTTCGCGATTTTGTTTAGTTCGCTAAGAGAAATGGATTCGACGTATTTGGGCAATACGGCCGTACAAAACATTTTGCCATAGTGGGAAGTTGAATATTTTTGTACGCTTCGTTGAATTTTAGGTAACGTTGTGAATTGTCCCAAAAAGGTCTATTTGTAATGGCATTTTGGTATAATTTTTTTTATTCGTCAGGCAACACTGATGGGTAACAAGGGGCCGGGCAAATTGGTCGCAATAAACCATATAAAATAAAGAGGAAAACATTTTTTGGGACCTTTGGATACCGTCGTCATAAACGATTTCGACTGTAATTATAGTTTAGTGTCGAACAAGGAAAGCGACTGGGAATGGCAACAAATAAAGTTTTCTCCTACTGATTTCGGTAACTTCTGTGGTTGTTGTTTTGGTCATATGATTTGTGTCAGAACACAATTATAGTTTGTTCAATTCCGTTAGTCTTTCGGTCATTGTTTATACCTTTCAATTCTTTTTAGTTCCCAACTCTTCTACAATTGCTTTGCTAATAAAATTTATTGGTCATTGTGAAAAATAATATTTCCAAGTTATGGGGAAAATACTAGCAAATTGTCTCAAGTGGTTTTCAGTCTATTCGTAAGTCATTAATTCATTAACTACTTTATTAGTTGTTTAAAGAATGCCATATTTTCACATGAAATTGATAGCTATCGGCGTTATCTTGAATGAAGGTATTATCTGGGGCTAGCGCTCATTGATATGCCGTGTTGGTCAAGAACAAAATTAGTTTGAAAGTATTTGTAATATTTTTATGAAAATAAAATCGATATTATTCCTAAAAACTTGACTTTTTGAGTTCGTGTTTTAAATCATGTTCCACATCTCGAAAGAGAAATAAATAAAAAACTTGAGGTTTACATAGGAAAATTCCGTCGTCAATTTTTTTACAATTCTGATTTTTTGACAAAATGTATTTAAACAAGATACTTGCTACATTATATTAAAGCATCTAATTCGAGATACGCATACAATGTTTTCGATATTCAATAATTAAAGTTACAAAATTAACTCTTGTATGCTATATTGAAACATTCAGATTAAACAATGGAATTATTATTATTAAGCCTGTTCTGAATTGCATCAGACAAAAATTTCCTCAGATTAATCAAACTGTAATCTCAATTGTAAACATGCAGCTACAAAAATAATTGTTTACAGTTTATTTGTGCCTAGGAACAAATTCACCATATTGAGACAGAGCGAGTATAGATAATCATAATACAATCGAAGTTACAACGTCCGTTTAGGTATAGTGCCACACCACACCAAATATAGTGAGTGCACATAGAATGGAAATATACAAAATTGGATACAATGTTTTTGGAAACTTTTGAATATCCGGTTTTCTTTATCTGTATTGGTGTATTTTTTTATAACATTTAAAAGAAAGCTTAAGGAAAAGCCCACAGAATATCGGTCACTCACCCAATCTATAAACAAAAGTAGATGGAGTTTAATGTACAATGACCCACGCACGATAACATCCGTAACTAAATTCATTGATTTTAGACTTTGCACTGCACATCACTAAAATGTTGAACCAATCGATACCGCCACAATCTGAACTCTTACGATGGTAGAAGAAACCCCCTAGCTGGGTTTTTAATTATTAGCTAAAGTTTTTGTTTAAATTCGGTTTTAATTTTGTCGGAGAATGACATGTTTATGAATTGATTTAAGTCGGTTCACATTTCATGTTAATCTGTTTAATATACCCAAAGTGGTGAAGGGTACCATATAGTCGGCCCTGTACGACTTTACTATTTTTCTTAAAGGTTTTATAGGACAGTTTTAGTGATCGAATCGCTTTTCGATCCATCAGTTGCAGTTGGAATTTTGGGTATTTTAAATTACGAGTGGTCTAATTTTCTACATTTTGCTAGCATTGCAGCAAAAGAGCACAGATTTTCCTTTCTACGAAATGTTTCTCCCCTTACTTTTTCACTTAACAACAAACATGCTGGAATTGTAACGGATTTTAGTTGTTTCCTAGCGTTTTAGCATAAGAGTCCAATGGAAAACTAGGACTTTTCGTTTTTGTATGAGAGCGTTTTATTGAGAACAACTGTCGTTAAAACGGAATTCCACTGCATTAAATTAAAACGAAATCCAAAAGAGCATAATTCAAATTGAAAACATTAAATGGCAATTGAAAAAATTCAAATTACAATTGAGATAATTGAATTATATATATATATATATTTTTTTTTTTTTTTTGAAGTATTTTTGAAAATTTTTAATTCAGAGATTTGGTGCGAACATAGAAGAAGGCTGGAATATTTTTGCAGTATGTGAGAAAATATCGATTGATATTGGCATTTATTATACCAAATATATTGTTCGAGTAGTACACAATATATATATATATATATTCCTTTTCAAAATACCTGTTTTGATTTAAAAAAATTTATATAATTTCCTATATAAATTTCCCATATGATTTTAGTCTTCCTGTAGGAAATTTTTTGTAAATACAGGAAATCCGTATTAGTGTGTTAATAAATATAGACTATATATGTATACCAAATTTGTTGCAATTTAATTTCCTATTTGCAGTAAATACTTGTATATTGTATGCATGTATATGGGAATGTGATTTTGTCTCGGCTAGAAACCAAGCAATTTCGTTACGATCCATTGTTGTATTGGTCGCTGTTGATCATATGATTTCGAGCGATCTATTTATAAAGGCATATCTACCACGACGTTCACACATACGTTGGGTCAAAAACACACAGACACACATATACATATGTCATGTTTTCCACAAAATAAGGTGATTCCAGCATTGAAACGAGGCAGAAATTGTCAGACTGCCAAAAAATACCACGCGTTGTTTATCAACGAATATCCACTTTGTCACATGAAAAAATGGCAATCATGGGACACAACATTACTAATAAAATGTGACAATTGGGATGTATGCTCTTCCTTTAGCACACTTCAGTTATAACCAAATTGCGATATATATATATATTGTTGTTCTTTATATTATGACCAGTTCTAAATTTCTTTACTGCCTAATATCAACCATTTAATATTCGTCATTTGAAGATGCTGTGCGAAAGTTAATTTAATTCAAATAAGTAGCTGTTTAAGGTTACCTTGAATTTTTTTGCATATTTCATCAAGACCAGTTTTTGGAGTGGTCGTTTTTTATGAATCAACATGTCATTCTAACAGAGGTACACTTATGAGAACTAATGAACATTTGGTCGATCCATCCTACCAGTCCTTACAATTTAATATTCCAATAATAATTCAAAGTTAAGATTATTTTTACAAAAATTAAAAATAGCAAAAAATATAAAAATACTCAATTTCATGGTTTATATTGGATTGAAGATAATGTTGAGGGACGAAATAAAAATAAAATCAGTGTCATGGTACACGAGGTCGTTAAGAGCAAACAATCCTGAGAAAACGAGATATGAAAACTGCAAAAAAGACATTATTACATTCGAAATAATCGTAAGACATGAAGCGAGTTAACGAAACCAGTAGCATGCTACTTAAATATATACATGTTTGCTTTTACAAACTAACAGCTGTCAAGGCCAAAGGAAGTTTTTGATAAGAAACAAGAAATATTCATATACTCATGATCCATATATCAGGTCATCCAAAATGCGAATTCATTTAAACGTACAACTCTGCACCTGCATTTACTGTCAAATTTGGAAATTATTGTTTATTTTCCACATATTTAAGTGCGCACAACACATATTGGTCACTATACCCTTTTTTGTAAACAATTCAATTGTTTTTTCCAAAATTTTTTATATTTTAACTATTTTATTTTTGAATGAAAAATCCGTTTCGACATTTTTGTGAATGTACACTATTGTTTTTTATTGAAATTCAAATCAAAACAATATAGTTTGAGAAAATATGTAGATATCAGCTGTCCTTACTTCTCTACATTGACACATTAAAGTTGACATTCCGTTTGTCACACATTGAAATATTCGTGGGAGACTTCAAAATATAGAGTATATAAAAACTAAATTATATGTCGGCTTACCCATGCCTGTCGTCTTTTTTCTTAAAAACACATATATATATATATATATATATATATATATATATAACCGTTCCCAACACCAGTATTTTGATAGTCCAAGGTACAATTTCATACCAGTGTGGCTGCAATTTCTTTGTCACATTACGTTGTATTTTAGTTATACAAACTTTAGCCTGTTCAACTAGACAACGGTTTTATAATTTTGTAAAATAGTGCCCTAGTTAACATTTTTGAATTTCACTTCATGGTTAAGCACCTACACATACGTTTAGGTATATTTATTATTTTTAAATTTCAAATTACTCCAAAAGATAAATTTGAACGATCATATTTTTGACCTATTTTCATTAACAATAGTTTTTCTATAATAAAAACGAAGGTCAACGTAATGAATACACCCTGGAACATCGATTTGATTTTTGTAAATGATAACATTGTTTAAATATGATAATAGAAGTGAAGAAAATGAAAAAAAAAAAATCCAAACTTTTTACCTCTAATGCGAAACTCAAATATTCAATATGTTTTGAAATATAGTTTCCTAGAAGTAAATATAAAATTATTACCTGACTTGATACATTTTGAGAAGAACAGTATTATTTAAAAACGAAAAAGAAAACATAAATCTTTATTTGTGATAAAAAAATTACATAAACACTTTTGAATACATATTTACACAATTTCCGTCAGTCTAGATGCCAATCGATCCTTTCTTACATTTTTGATACTCTGTCCTTAAGACCTTGCAACTCGGCCGAAATTTCAGATGGCAAGTAAGAACCGACTTGGGTTGTAAAGTACTTTTCAATGTCTGCTGCTTCTTGTAACCAGAAATCTTTGGGTAAATGGAAAAGTTTTTCCATGTCAATATCGGTTGCCATCCCTTGGGTGTTAATTGAGTTGGGGCTAGGTAGCAAGCCGATGGGTGTCTCTTGGTAACATTCTTCTCCTTCGACACGGCGGAAAATCCAGTCGAGTACTCTAGAGTTATCGCCGAATCCTGGCCACAGGAATTGGCCGTCTTCACTCTTGCGGAACCAATTTACATTGAAAATTTTGGGCACCTTTCCACGTGATTCCATCGAGAGCCAGTGTTTCAAATAGTCGCCGAAATTATAACCAAAGAATGGACGCATGGCAAACGGATCGTGCATGATGACTTTGCCCTTGTGTTCTGCTGCTGCGGTTGCTTCACTGCGCATCGAAGCTCCCATAAATACACCATGGGACCAATTTCGGGCTTCGTAGACCAGTGGCACACCGGCCGGTCTGCGGCCTCCGAAAAGAATCGCACTTATTGGAACTCCGGCACTATCTTCCCATGCCGGATCAATGATGGGACATTGAGCAGCGGGTGTACAAAATCGAGAGTTGGGGTGTGCAGCAGATTTTCCTGATTCTGGAGACCACAGTTTGCCTAACCAATCAGTAACTGTGACACCGCTGATGTTGCCTATATCCATACCTTCCCAGAATACTCCACCGTCCGATGTCGATGCAACATTGGTAAACAATGAGTTCTTGAATATGGTCTTCATTGCTATGGGGTTTGTGGACATCGATGTTCCGGGAGCAACGCCGAAGAAACCATTCTCAGGATTAATTGCTCTCAATACACCATTTTTATCGAATTTCATCCAAGCAATATCATCGCCGACACACTCAACTTTGTAACCGGGTAAAGTTGGAGTCATCATGGCAAGGTTCGTTTTGCCGCAAGCGGAGGGGAAAGCGGCAGCAATGTAAATTTTCTTTCCCTGAGGATTGGTTATTCCCAAAATTAGCATGTGTTCGGCCAACCAACCCTCCCGTTTTGCAATGGTACTTCCAATGCGGAGAGCAAAACACTTTTTGCCAAGTAAGGAATTGCCACCGTATCCGGAACCATAGGATACAATTTCGTTGTTGTCCGGCATATGTAAAATTATTGTCCGTTCTGGATCACAAGGCCATGAAGGGAAGGCATGTCTACCATTTTTGGGTGTTCCAACGGAATGGAGACACTTCACAAATTCATCACCACCTCTCTGCATCTCATCCAGAACTTTCAATCCAGCCCTGGTCATAATTTTCATCGATTCTACTACATAGGGGGAGTCTGTGATTTCTACACCGATTTTTGACAACGGGGAGCCGACTGGACCCATGGAGAAGGGTACCACATACATTGTACGACCTTTCATGCACCCGGGAAAACGTTCAGCAATAGCTTTACGCATGTCCTCAGGAGATATCCAATTTCCTAATGCTCCTGGTGTTGACTCACCAGTAACAGGGACGGTCTGTTCCTTACGCTCGGTACAAATAAAAGTACGGGATTCGACGCGGGCAACATCAGCAGGATTCGTTCTGGCTAGCCAGCAGTTTTCATATTTCGTCAGAGGAGTTATTGTTCTCTGCTTCACCATAAGCTGCTGCAGTATTTGGCTTTCTTGAACACTGCCATCGCAAATATGAATACGATCGGGTCGACACAACTCGACGCATTCATCTACATAATTTTTGGTAGCAGCTGTAAAATGTGTCGGATTGCCGTAGACAAAATTGGCGAGTGTTCGATAGGTAAATCTGAAGTTGTACTTGTGGGCTCCGAGTGTAAAGGAAGAGCTGAAACAAAACAGAGTGCAAACAATTACATCAAATTGAATTTTATGAAAAGAAAAGGAATAAATGTAAGCGGTTTGACTAATTCGGGATATAATGAACAAAATATTGGCACTTTTACACAGACTACTGAATATGGGTATAACGAATAGTACAACAGCGTTTGTCTTATAAGTATATAACGAATTTTGGGTTCAAGTAGGTAATTCTTAGAATATACGGATATTGGTAATTCCTATAGGAGATACATACTGAAGACGGCATTATTTTATTGAAATGACCTATCACTAACTATTTATGGTCAGCTTTTCTGACATGTATAAGCGATAATTCATGTTTCTGAAAAAATAGTTGGAATGTCGATAAAAATGTGTAAATATATTAAAATTGACTGTTTTTAATCCGGTTCTTTTCATAATGGTTTTTCAAAATAGTATTATAAAATATTTGTATTTATTTGTTCACGATGACGTCGTTGTGAATAAAATAGTTAGGTGTTTTTCCCATATTTAGATTATCAGCGTAAAATTGGGACGAATCTTAAATAAGCTGTCTAAAGTCCGTTTCATTTGTTGAAAATCTTGTTGGTTTTTTGTGTTTCGACATTTTTGTGAATGTACACTATTGTTTTTTTATTGAAATTCAAATCAAAACAATATAGTTTGGCAAAATATGTAGATATCAGCGGTCCTTACTTCTCTACATTGGCACATTAAAGTTGACATTCCGTTTGTCACACATCGAAATATTCGTGGGAGACTTCAAAATATAGAGCTTACCCATGCCTGTCGTCTTTTTTCTTAAAAACATATATATATATATATATATATATCTTAAATAAGCTGGACGAATCTCAAATAAGCTGTCTAAAGTCCGTTTCATTTATTGAAAATCTTGTTGGTTTTTTGTGTAAACTTCAATAAACAACACTTTATTAAAAAAAGTACAGTATACTTAACGAGATTCCACTGTATAAACCAATCTATTAAAACATATAAACAAGTGTCCGTCGGTTTGCTGACAGAAGTACACGTATTCTGATTTTTGAATTCTATTTTGGATTGTGAAGATCTACAGAATCACTATCTATGTAGTATCCAGTTGGATCAATTCTTTTTCATTTGTTTTTATTCTCAGTTTGTCATGAATGTGCCATCGATGACAAAGCTATATAGTCGACAGTTGCACTTAATTTATGGTTAGTGGCAATCTTGAGATCAGCCCAGGATTCAAAGTTCGATTTATATAATATGAACGTTTGTCCATCAGTAGGGAGGTTCAATGAGAAAGTGTTGTCATTTTTGCTAAAACAAAATTACACCACCCCTTTCCACATTCAACGTCTGTCCAAATTACCCATACATTTCTTTGCTAGCAATAAACTTTGGACCATCGGAATTATAAAAACTACAGCGCAAAAGCATATTTTAAACAACAGACTGTACATTTTAGCATTTGAGGAGAAAAAATTCCACCAAAATTTACGTATTTACGGAGGCACGAAATTAAAATCAAAACAAAACAGAAAACACGTTTCTTAAGACCAACAACATAGCGCAGAATGTTTGCCAATCTGTTCGTCGTCGTTCCACTACATATTGTTGCTGTTACTGAATGTTGAGGTTATCCGCCAGCTTATCACCCAAACATATACAATTCTCCCACATATACTAACTCATCCGTTTACACATGTCGGTAAATGATGTCTAAACCCCAAACAAATAAACACAATTCTCATACATATGTATGTATGGACGTGTGTTAAATTTTGAAAACCTACTGATTACTAACGTAACAATCATAAACGATAATAAGAATTGACTCCTTTACTAAAGCAGTCATTCGGGGTTGACAGTCTAGTGGTCAATGGGTGGTAATACATTTCAATTTGATGGAAACATCGATGATATGCCGATGTATTACAGACGAAAGGATATTAGCATTCCAACATTTGAAAACTGCTATAATGACCACATAGGTACTTTTTTAATTCGCCTTGTGTTCTAAAATCACTTTATGTTGCATATAATTGCCCATGATTCAAATATAAATAATAAACAATTATCGTTCTGAAAGACCGAGCCCGCCAAAAATTAATAGCATCGATGATTGGCTTGTCTCTTTGTATTTTCTAAACGCTGCAAGTAACATCTGAAGGCAAATTGTGCCCGAATGCCAATGTGAGAATATATACATATGTATTGTGCGCACATACGACAGATTTTTTGAGTGTGTGTGATTGAATCGCTATACTCGTCCGAATGTCTGATGCAATGTTTCATCATCACCGTTGCCAAACATGTTCTGGCGTGGTAACAAATACAACACTCTTATTTTCATTCAACGTCAACAGTCGGCAACATTGTTCGCAGATCATTGATCCCTTTAATGGTGCTACTCGATGTTGACTAAATGGCACAATTTAAGGTGTGCAAATCGGTCGCACTCCTTATGCTCTGCGAATCGCGAAAGTGGATTTGTATACATACAAATATATATATATATATGTATGCGTATGTACATGTTAGTCTGACAGATGGTCTTTAAAATCGCTGGCATCTATGCGCTGCTTCCACCATTCGTCCACTGCTGATTAGTTTAGAAATTGTTTTCTTCAATTTTAAAATACAGGGTCATATTATCACGAATTGTCGTCTAGTGCAGATGTTTCGTCGATATAACTGAACTAGTGAGCAAGCACAGACTATGCGACGCACAAACAAAATCGACGAGCCCTAATAGTATTTTCAATTCAACAATAATGTTGAAACAAAGTAAAAGTTAGATTGTACAAATATAAGTGTCAGACAATTAATAAAACCACAATAAACAATGCTACTGCTTATATACATACGAGTATAAACAAAAGAAATTCATAATCGTGTGTAGAACGCGTAATGTCTGCAAACATAAGTGCGCCACAAAATGGAGACAGTGTTGTGTGTGTGTGTGTGCGGGGTCCAAGCCTCTTAGTGAGAAAATCAAAAACCCTAAAGGATAGTTCCGTTGCACTAGATTTTTTTAAGAATTGTACTTTTGAATTCAGATTCTTAAACTTTCATTTTCGTCTACATTGCGTCCATTTCCATCAATATTCTACAGTTCAAAACATATACATGACCCTGTTATCGCGTTTTGTCATTCAGTGCAGATGTTTATTTTTTAATACAATTTAATTATTAAGTCAAAGGTCAAGTGACGCACTGTCTAAAATATATAAAAGTGGTGACAGTATTTCTACTAAATTTTTGCAGTGTACACAATCAATTTTCAAATGGATGGAGATTGTGTATAAAATAATGTTAAGTGAAATTTCAAGTTCAAGGTTACTATACTTTTTTCTTTATATTTATGTGAGACTTCTATATATAGCAATTATTCCGTTTAGACTAAAAAAAAAACAGAATTAGATTTTCATTGAATATAGATGGATTATCAATTCTGAATAAATTTTGTACAATGTGATGTTGATAATATCGTACACATTTCACAATTGTGTATTCTAATAATTTAGATTCGAACAAAAAAATCTGCAGATGTATACAAAATATAATAGAAAATTATCCATTTATTTGGATAAAATCTATGTTTCGGGATCGCCAAAATATTAAAGTTTAAGCTGATACAAGAAAACTCATAGCTGGGGTTTGAATTATTAGTTACGGTTTTTGTTTAAATCCGGTTTTAATTTTGTTCGATTTGGTGTGGATTTCCAAATAATAAAATTATCACGTGAACTACTCGACATATAATTTAGATTCGAACAAAAAATCTGCAGATGTATACAAAATATAATAGAAAATTATCCATTTATTTGGATAAAATCTATGTTTGATAACACTGTGCAGCACTAAAATCTTGAAACAATCGGGATCGCCAAAATCTTAAAGCTTATGATGGTACAAGAAAACTCATAGCTGGGTTTAATTTTCGATTTGGTGTGGAATTCCAAATAATGAAATTATCATGTGAACTACTTGAAATATTGATTTTCTCTCTTCAGCAATGTTTTGCCCTTAATAAGATCTACAAATTTTGGTTTCAGATAAAAATAAAAAAAACAACATCATACTCAAAATGGCACATCTGTTAAATGAACATACATTTTGGATGCTTCCTTCATGATTTTTCGCAATGGGCTTAGAGCTTTCTTTTAATTCGACCAAAAATATATGATAGGTAGATAGTCAAATGAAAAATAATCAACTCTTCTTAAAACCACGATTTGATTGGATGTCCTTTCACATGGACATAGTCTCACAAATCCAAATCTCAAAAATTAACCAATTGTATGTTCATAGAACATGGTATGCTATGGTACTTAAAAAAACATACAATTGTCTATGACCGTACAATACAAATCTGCAACAAAACCCCGCTCGACCTTCTTATATCCTCTCACATAATTTTTTATGTCTCATTTCGCAACAATCTCTCAGGTGCAACAATCGGAATAAATTCGCAGCAGAACATTTTTTGGGCACAGCCCCAACATATTCTACTCAAAGCGAGTAGAATAGAATAAAATTATTGTTTATTATAAAATATTAGACTGTAAAGGACGCATTTCTGTAATTATTGAGGCATAATTGTATTTGCTTTCCCTGACATTGGACTCTTGTTTATTAAAGAATTCTATGATCAAGATAAAAATTCTGACCACAAAGATTTAACTAGCCTTGAACCGATTTTATACGTTTGTGTTTCAAAGTCTGTGTATTTAGAAAATAAAAGATAACTAACAAATAACAACATTATTTACACTTTTGTTTATGTATATATTTCAGAATTCTCGTTGTTTTCTAATATATTATAAAAAATGCCTTTGTAAATTTCCATGACATTTTTATATTTTTAGGTTTTCACTATATTTAAAAATATATATATATAATGAAAATCTAAAAATATCACATTGTATAGTCATGTGTTCTATAGG